AATTTCTCAAATCCCCCGCCCCTATTCATAATAAATATAAAGTTGTTAAATTATCCCTGAGACCATAACTACCTGCCTCCTTACCTCTGACTTCATACTATATCCCCATTGCTCACTCCAGCCAGACTCACTATCTTGCCAGGTGCCCTCCTGCTTCGGGGCCTTGGCACTTGCTGGTCCCTGTGCCTGGAAAGCTCTTCCCCTTGATTTTGTTGGTTTGCTCCTCACTCCCTCCAGGTCTTTGCTCAAGTGCTGCCTTTTCAGTGAGACCTTTCCTCATCACCCTTCTTAAAATGCAACCTCCTATGCATTTCTTATCCCCTCTCCTGAATTTCCTCCTTTGCACATCGGCTAATGTATCAGGTGTTCATGAATGTATTGCTGACACCTCTCCCCCCTCATTAGAAGGGAAGCTTCACGAATGTAGGAAATTTTGCCTGTTCACTGTTCACTGCCTGTTAGCCCCTGGGACAGTGACCAACTCATAGCTACCCAATAGAAAGTTCCTGCTCATGTGAAGTTCTGATTCCTTTTCCCCACTGTGTTTTAGAGTCTAACAAGTTATGACGTCTGCAGCATACTTCTCGGGACCTCCACCTTGCTTGTGTGGCTGGGCGTCATCCGATACCTCAGTTTCTTCCACAAGTACAATGTAAGACATTCCAAGGCTCTCCGCTGTCGTACATTTAAGTCCTTTATCCATTTTGAGTTTATTTTTGTGTATGGTGTAAGTTGGTGATGTAGTTTCATTTTTTTGCATGTATCTGCCAAAATTTCCCAGCACCATTTATTATAGAGGCTGTTTTGACTCCATTGTATGCTCTTGCCTCCTTTGTTGAATATTAATTGGGCATAGTGGTTTGGGTCAATTTCTGGGGTCTCTATTCTATTCCATTGATCTATATGTCTGTTCTTATGCCAGGCTGTTTTAAGAACAGTGGTTTTGTAATACAGCTTGATATCTGCTATTGAGATCTCTTCTTTCTCAGGATTGCTGCAGATATTCGAGGTCGTTTTTTATTCCAGGTGAATTTTTGGAACGTTCATCCTAGATCTGTGAAATATGCCATTAGTATTTTAATGGGGATAGTATTGAATCGATAGATTGCTTTGGGTAGTATGGACATTTTAATGATGTTAATTCTTCCAACATGGCTATTTGTGTCTTCCTCTATTCCTTTTTTTCAATGGCTATAGTTTTCTGAGTAGATGACTTTTACCTCCTTGGTTAAGTTTATTTCTACATATCTTTTTTTTTTTTATTATTGCAAAGGTAAGTGGGATTGTTTTGTGTGTGTGTGGTTTTTTTTTAGTTTCTCTTTCTGAGAGTTTATTATCTATATGTATAAAAGCTTAAGTGACAGTTATGACCAGTTGACCAGTCGCTATGATGTGCATTGACCACCAGGGGGCAGACACTCAACATAGGAGCTGCCCCCTGGTGGTCAGTGCGCTCCCACAGGGGGAGTGCCACTCAGCCAGAAGCCAGGCTCACGCTGGCAAGTGCAGTGGTGGTGACGGAAGCCTTTCCTGACTCCACGTCAGTGGCAGCACTAAGGAGCAGCAAGCTGAACAGTAAGGAGCAGTGAGCAGGCAGGCAATAAGGAGCGAGGGGTCCCGGACTGCGGGAGGGCACAGGCCGGGCTGAGGGATCCCTCCCCCCAGTTCATGAATTTCGTGCACCAGGCCTCTAGTTATCTATATACTAGGCTAATAAGCTAAGTGTCCCTCCACCTGTCCGACCAGCTGCTATGACGTTCCCTGACCACTAGGGGGCAGATGCTCAACGCAGGAGCTGCTGTGATGTGCACTGGCCATTTACAGAGAAACGGCAGCATGGACCTGGTACTGACAAAGCAACACTCGGCTTCTCCCAAGTGGGACACAGGCCCTGCCACCACCCCAGAGGGACAGCCCACCAAATTGCAGCCGATACTGCCATGGTGCAAAATGCGGCCCACAGCCCAGCCCAGCCCGGAAACAGTCACTATGGGCGCTGGGTAGTGATGTCACATAGCAACATCCGGCTTCCTCTCCCTAGTGACAACTAGCCTCCTTGCAGTTTCTTCATCCCAGGAACACAACTTGCTTTATAGTCAGGTGGAAACATTTCACACTTTAACCAAATGTCTATGAAGCATTTTCCCATGCCTCATCTCATTTGATCCTCACAGAAGTCCTGAAGTAGGGAGATAGGGGATACAGTGGAATCCTATTTTCATTAGCCAGAAAATGAAGATTTAGAAAGTTTAGAAACTTGACCCCACTGAAAAGAAGTAAGAAATGGTGGACCTTGAAAATGACTTCAGGTTTTCTCACTGCGCAGAATATAGTCAAACACTGCTGTAGTTAAATATTTTACCATGTAGATCCCTGCATGATCTACAGTAATAATCTGCTTCTTGTTGATATTTACTGCTGTGTTGCTGACAATTACCTGAAAGAGAAGTTGGGGTGCTTCACTGGGCTGGAAAAAGTTTAGCAAAATCAGAAAGCAGGTCTAATTAAGCAAGTTTATTCTATACTAGAAGTCTGGTGCATAAAATTCATCCACTTGGGGGTGTCCCTCAGCATGGCCTGCAGTCTGGGAGCCCTTGGGGGATGTCTGACTGATGGCTTAGGCCGCTTTCCCCTGGGCCTACACTGTCAGTTGGACATCCTTAGCGCTGCCACAGAGGCAGGAGAGGCTTCCGCCACTGCTGCTGCGCTCGCCAGCCGTGAGCCCAGCTTCTGGCTGAGCGGCACTCCCCCTGTGGGAGCGCAATGACCACCAGGGGGCAGCTCCTGTGTTGAGCGTCTGCCCCCTGGTGGTCAGTGCACGTCATAGCGACCGGTCATTCCACGGTTTGGTCAATTTGCATATTAGGCTAAGTTGACTCACATATGCGTGATACATATAAAGTTTTTGCTGGTGCAAATCGCACGTGTGTTTCTAGCTGTCATTGTTGATCATGAATTTGGTTGATACTTCTATTATAGAGAAAGGGCAAATAAAATGATATTAAAATATTTCTTTTAATTAATTTCCTTTCCATGTGCACAAATCAGTGCACCGGGCCACTAGTTTTTAATATGATGTCATGAATGAAGTCTCCCAGGGGAAGGAGCATGGAATAAAGTGCATTTTTCTCTTTTTTTTTTCAGTTCCGTTCTCTGAACTTGGTCTCCGAGTGCCTTTTTTCTCTGATAAATGGAGATGACATGTTTGTGAC